GGTTCATCCGCAAGCACGAGGCTAGGGTTCGAGCCCACCCAATCTTGCAGTAGCACTGTATACTTTGCAGGTGTGGAGCGCATGCCGAACCGCGAGGTGGAGTTATTTAGATTATTTAATATTGTTTGCATTACCGCGGGGTCAGATCCCAGAAGAGCTATGTCTGCGTACTCGATGTCTGTGAGCGGACACCCCGGGAGCACTTCAACCCCGTAGGCATTATAGGCTGGTAGTGAGTCTTCCATGATCGTATCAATGACGAAGTTGAAGAGGAAAGGTGAAAGAGGACAACCCTGTCGGACACCACTGGATGTGGTGAACTCAGGAGAGAGATTCCCGTAGACATTTACACGGCCGCGGTCAAACATTCGTATTCTCATTTTGGTTAGTATGTTCTGGGAACGGCTGGTTGTTTGACGCTTGCCGCTACAATGGTCTCTTCTGCAGAAACCAGATGTGGTTATGCTTTAGAAAACCCAATACCGATTGTTCCTTCTGGACTACAACCACGGCAGTCAGGTGACTAGAGCAGAGATGTAGCAATGGGACACCGGGGTCATGTGTTAGACATGAATCACTGAAAGTGCACAATTGTGCTGGTTCGGACTGTTGGCACGTGCTATCAGAACCGCTGTGTCTAAGCGAGGCTGAGCGCGGCATCTCGATGCAAAACTTTGGCCTATGGTTGAGATTCGACCGAATGTCCGCCCACAATAGTATTCCTGAATTTGCAAGGTATGCTTCAGAAATTTGTCGATGTGAGTTATTCGTACTTTCAGGGCGTGAGAACATACGAGAGCTTTCCAAAGACTCACGCAAAGTGGCGTCCATCAAGAATGCTGACTTGTCAGTTCTATTCAAATTTGTGATAGACGAGATAATAAGATGAGAGCTGGAAGGTTTTGGGGACCCTGGTGGGCAAATATCTGCCGACGAAAACCATGTCGATCTGGAGTGTGCAGACGACATCGTTCTCGTGTCCGAAGGGGAGCGCAGGTGTTTTTTGGGTAAACTGACCAGTCATCCCACCCTTTGGAATGCGCTTTGCACCCACAACGTGTAAGACCATGCTCCTGGGCATGCAGTCACTGAACACGCCACTTACGGCCCAAGAAGAGGCATTGAAGTTGTCCATCGTTTTACATATCTTGGAAGTTGTGTTAGTTCTGACTGTGGTGTAACAGATGAGCACAAATCTGTGACTCGGGTCGCGTTTGGTGATTTGAACATCAAAGTGGTGTATCTCTGAGTCTCAGGGGACGTATATATCAAGCTACGGTGCGGGCTGTTTTGTTGTATGGCTGTGAGATTCGGCCTGTTCGAGCAGTGGAACTGAGGCGTTTTCAGGCTCAGAACCATAGCTCCTTTGGGTTTGTATCGGCGAATCCGTGACGAGGCAATTAAAAAGAAAGCGTTTGGTTGTGCACCGGGGACTTATACTGAAGAATGTGTCCAGCACCGGAAGCCGTGTTGGTTAGGTCATGTATTGCGCATGTCGAACCATCCTTTGCCGAAGAGAGCGCTGTTTTCCGTTCCTAATTCAGAGTGACGGAAGCAGAGGTGGCCAGTCTTTAACCTGCAGTCTGCGTAGCTGGTGCAACTCGCCTTCTCGAATGGGGTCCGCGTGATCTCACTATGCCTGGTTGGAGACGCTACAAGATATGGCTGCTAAACGACATCAGTGTTATTTCTGTTGTCAGTTTCTACGCAAATTATCTGAATGAGTGTCTGAAGGTGTAGGCACCTCAGAATATGGTACGCTAGCGCTAATTCCCTTCCCCGTCCACTTTTCTTCCTTTCTTTACAATAAGGTATACAAATAAATCATGGTTGTACGACAGTGTAGTACCATTGTGGATGTTGTGCTATCGGTTATGATGAAATCGACCAATCGAAATGAGTCATGTTCGGGACTGGCGGGAACGTTTCTGGATGTAAGGACTATCATGCATGGGGTGACCATTGATACTCTTTAAAAGATCGTCTATCCATACTTTTGACCATTTGTAGGCAATAGAAACAGCTTGTGTTACTCTAATAATACACATGCCTTGAGTTGAACGACCATGCGAAATAAGCGGTATTCGAAGTAGGGTTAAGGAGTGATACACTACTCATAAGGTTGATGAAAACTCTTCGACAGCCCATCCATAAACGAGAGATTCAGCTGGGTTCAAGGTGGGTCTTCCGCAAAACCAAATAGGTTTGCAAATGAGTGTACTTCGCTAGGGTTAAGGAGATTACGCCATTGATGGACTGTTACTGGGGAGAATGTCGTTGGCTTAGGTAGCATAGATGTTCGTTAGTTTGTTTGGTAAGCAGGGAAATCTAATTGGAAACTTTCAACCACCAAACGAGGTGACATCGTCGGTGTGTCGTTTGGGGCGGAGTGGAACGCAGCTGTGGGCCAAGCCCTGTGCTGTGAACTACCACGACGCTCCACTCTGTTCTGATGATGTCGCCTTGATTGGTGAGGAAACGTTTCTACTCAAATTGTACAGCTCGGTGAATAAAACAGCGACCGCTGATGCACTGGTAGCTAACGTACCGCGGGCTCGAGTACTCGGCATGAAATAAGCTTAACAACCCACCGGCTGATATCGTGGATAGGAGATCCGGTGATCAGAGCAATTTCAATCTAGACGTAGCGGATCGATGTTCCCTAGCTGGAGGGGGCTCCTAAGAGGAAGGAATTCGGAGGGGGGGCGTGATGAGAGGCAATCGAGGTCTCGGATGGGAAGACAAGAGTATCAATTGTTGATCGGATACATCTAGTGTATGAGTCACTTGAGTCTTTCCTAGCTATTTTTTCTTTCGTCTGTTGACTTCGTGATCCTATCCATTAATGAATGCAGATGCGTAGTCAGAACCTTCGAGTTTGACCCCTCTGGCTCATACCTGATTGTTGTCATTCTGGCCACATTTGTCGATCTGTCATTCGGTTCGATTGCTTAGGCGATCCTTTGCAGCGGGACGATTGGGTTAGCCGAGATTGCGGTGGAATACCATGCTTCACGAAACTCCCTTGCTTGATCTATTTCCGTGTGCTAAGGCCTCACGTTTTCTGGACTGGATTTGATTTCTCTGAAGCCAAGGAGGTTGGCCCATATATTCTGACCATCCCACTGTGTTTTTCATCCATTCAAATGGTTATCGTCCAGTTTGTTCAGGTGATTTATTCGGTGGGCAACGCAGTTCTTGGGTCGAACTCCTCTACATCAACGTAGTGGTTTACTTGTTGGTTGCCTGTGGCTGTAGTGGCTTTGCTGTGAGTTCAGATGCGAGTGTTTTTCAATACTTCCGTTTGTTAAACTACGCCTAAGCGAACTATGGCAACATATAGCATGTGTTCGCCTGCGATTGTTTCCTGAGCATTCGGCAGGAGTGTGGGTATGTGGTTCTGCCTGATACTTCAGTGGAGATTGAAAAGTGGTCCGCATTGTTCTGATCCTAATTTTTGGAAATTATTGCATTCATGAACTCAGAACTCATGAACTGCACTCCGAAGGATAACAAAACTCGCAATAAAGCCTACTAGGAAGAAATACCGACTTGCCAATCCATCGACGACCTTTGCCAGATCCGCCCACTTCGATAGAAATTGAAAGACGCTAGAAATTCTCTTAAATCGAAGTCAAGGAAACAGTTGCGGTCGTTTTTCCGTCTTGTGGACTACGACACGAAATCCATACCACGATCAACTGAGGAAGTGTTCCCAGTGTTTAGTTGTTACAGAAGACCAAGTAAGAACCTTAAGTGGACCCCATAGCTGGAGAGCACTTTTCAAGACAACGATTGAATACCATGATACCCAATCAAGTGTTTACTGAGTCAGTCGATGTCGGCTACAGTAAAACTGAGGCGATTTTGTCGAAGCCGTCGGGAATGCAAATCGATTGCTCGAAATAGCGGAAAAGCTTTTCCGAAGCCGAGAAGGGCCGTCCCGCAATGGTCTCGACGTTGAAAAAGTGGTGTGACCATTTTGTTGCTACAGAACTCACCGTCAAGGCGGACCATAAAACGTAACTTGATTGACGACAGTCAAGAATCTTTTAGGAAAACTAAAACCAACCCAACTCTCCTCAGGCTATCAGCAAACTATGGGTAGCTCAGAGGGGAGAATAATTAATAGGGCGTGAAACTTTCGTCGCAGTTGTCACTCGAGGATTTAGGCGACGTGTAAATGCCAGGAATTAAAGATGCGTGGGGCTATATCCATCGAGGTGTGAGTTGACCGATGTACGCCCTCTTTGAGACCCACCAATATGCTTTCTTGATGCCACAGGTGGCGCGAATTGGTAAAAGTAATTCTAGCCTTTGAGATTCGTGCTTTGACCTCTGCAACACAGCCGCACATGGCCGAACGGTTCGGACTTCAACAACTGGTGGGAAGTCGCGCGTCCGGATCTCCCATGGGATTTGCAAGATGCACATTTCTGATGACTTCCACGAGGAGCGAAAAAGCAGTAGATTGCCTCTTGGCACAGACTGACTTTATTCACAGGAAGATGCCTCGACTGAAAAAGTTTCCAAACCTCCACATACTGTCAACAACCGTGGCTTATGTTTTGGACCTCGAGGATTTTAACGGATGTTGCAGCACTGAGGAATCCACAGAATGAGGTCGTCTCCCTATCATCAAGTCAACGGAGTAGCAGAAGTTCAACCGTACATCCGAAAATCGGGTCAGCGGTCACAATTTTAACAGGACTGAGAGACTAGCATAAGTACTTTTCAGTTGGTAGTTGATCAGATGGCTGTTAATCTGTTCGCCCAGCCTGGTTATTGACTTGCAGACGAGTCGAGGAAACACCATCAGTGCACTGTTGGGTGGGCGCCACCCTGCATACAAGCAGATGATTTTCGCAAGCTCTAGCCTTTGACTAGATCACCATGGCTTATTGTGGCCGAAGTAGAACTGCCTGTTCATAAGCCTACTCGCCCCATAAAGGTTGGAGAGGACAGCGTCCACACCACAACGGCAGTAAAAATGATAAGGCATGGGTAGTATCCGCTTAAATACAGCACGAAATTAAACAGTTCATCACAATTCAAAATTAGGGGGCCCTTTAAATAAAGGGGACAAAAAGAAGCATGATGAAGCACGCGAAGTTGGACTGTAAATCCCCAGTGTTTCGATTTTCCAACAGAGACGACACCAACTGTAGGCAATCAAATGGAGGAATTTATTCGCCTAAAGTAAGTAGCTTCGAAAAAATCTAATAACAAAAGGCGGCTTTTTGGGGTTGACAGAGGCGTCGTGTCTGAGAGAGAGGCAAAGGAGAAAACCCGTAATAACGAATCACTGGTGTCAATAAGTCAAAGGTGTTTTCTCTGAATTTAGGAGAAAACCAACGAGACTCCCGTGGTACCAGTGTTGGAACGAGGACCGTAGCAAGATGCGCTCGCTCGGGTCAACTTGTCAACTGTATGTCCAAGTGTGGTAAAAACCAATTTCTGTATGGTGAATGAAAAATCTGAGTACAGTCCACTTGTCAGTACAAGGAATGGGATACTGAGGCGAAGAGTCCTTGAGTAGGTGTCAGCATACATTAACCAGGCAGTCCAGCCTCTTGTCGACAGAGAAGAACCGTGGAACGGAGCTCGAATTGATCTTTTGAGAGTCTGCGAATTCTCTGAGGGAGATAGAAGAAACAGTCAAAAAATTGTAACCTGTCAATCCAGGCCGGAGTGTAATTTCGTGAAATGGAAATTGTCATGTTGCTGCATCACTCCAGAGAAATGGGAGAACCTAAAGATTCTAAGTGAACCACGGCTATTCCCCAAATCAAATTGGGATTATGGCGCTGGTGGATTTTCCGCAGGTAGCATGGCTGTCACAGCCGGAACCTCGACAAGGTTCGTGTATCAAAACTTTGTAAGGGTACCCGACAAGCCCATTAGGGACGACAAGCCGCGCGTGAACGAGCTCTTCGGGATTTGACAACACATCATCATAAGTGATAAAGTACCCACATGAATCGTTTCCTTAGAGGGGGGAGATCAGCCACATTATATTTGAACAGCGAAACCACGTTGGCGTTAAAACACAACTTCCTTAAAACCCCATCGCCTCAAAAATAAGCCAGTACCAAATGTCTACATTGCGTCATGTGAATTTGAGAACCAATCACCATTTGACGCTGTCAAACTCAGGTTGACTGAATCGAGTAAGCATAGTGCAAACACACCTACGGTTAAAGCGCCATCATGGATCATCGATGGTACTGTCTTCTACGCAATTACATCCGCTACGGTCTCCCAGATTAGCAATGATTGTGATTTACATAAAAAATCTGAAGTGCGTTGAGGGACAGTTCGCACTTTCCAAGAGTGCTCCAGCTCTATTCGCTAGTTTGGGAACAAAGTAGTTTGAGTTAGGTCAGTGTCTGCTGGTTGCATAGCACTGCTGTTATAGTTAGAAGAATTCATTCAAAGGAAACCTGTGCAACCAATAAATGCGGTAAAAAAAGATTAGGCTTAGCCTACCACTTCACAATTCGAGCCGTCGACTAGTGTGCAAAGTAAAAAACAATCGAGGCATTGAAAAACATTGACATACAACACGAGCTAACCCATTACACGTGCTCACCTCCAAATACGTATCCAGATCCAGCACACCTTTACCGAGTGCTTCGCGCAAATAGTACATGGCGTCTTCGATGGCCTGTTCCTTTGCGAAGCTGGACACCAACTGTCGATAGAGCGGGTACTCGATGAAAACTGCCTCATCAACGTCCACCTCCCCTGCTGAGTCAAGGTTGGCGCATAGTTCCTCAAGTTCCTTGTTCTCCCTCTCAAGCTTTTCCAAATTTTCCGAAGCCGTTTTCTGTTCATTGGGAAGAGACCAGGTGGAAGATAATACGACGGTAGAACCCAGAAAACTGCACAAGACTGTTTTCAAACTTAGAAACCGATAACTGCACAAATGACGAATTGTTTATGAGAAGCACAAAATAGGGAAAAGCTGAATTAGTCGCAGGTCGACCCACGAACTGGGCAAACAGTCGAATCGAGTAACTTTGTCGGACCTTCCTTTAATCCTCTTCTAAGCAAGTTTTTACGCTACCCAAGTATCTATTCATTCCATCGAAAAGTCCGCAATCCAATAACAAGCTTTTAGTTGCAGTTTATTGTGCATAATATCCGGACTACGATGCGAAAATGTTGTCAGTGGCTCCAGAGTTTTCTCAGACTATGACAAAAAACTCATCACATCTGCCGCAGTGAATGTGTGAGATATTTAGTGCTCATGGTGCTCAATATGGTGAAACTGCATAGAATTCTAATCATTTATGTATACTTTTCCGCTTAATGTCCTCTAATCTGCATTAAAACCGTACTCCAGCAAACACCGATTTTAGAAGTCAATAAGACAACGAAGGGTCTTTATTACAGTTTTTAGTGCCCTTATCAGTGACACATTGGATGCTGTTTATTCTCCTTATCATTTTCAACACCGCTTCATTTATGACCGGAATTAAGTCATGCATACTGAAATGTTTTCTGTCGGACAATGAATCAGGTGTATTTCTAAAACGAAAAGCCTTGAACATTTCCCAGCTCGACCCAATGATATACCTTGAACACCTACAGAAGGTACACTTCTAACCATCACCGTTCCATTTACGGATGACGGGAATGGAACAGATTTGGGCCTTGGAGATGACAGCTGGAAACCTTAGCCTGGTCTTACTGATGTGAAGGCACGGCTGTCTATAGATGAAGAACGATAATTAATAGGGCGTGAAACTTTCGTCGCAGTTGTCACTCGAGGATTTAGGCGACGTGTAAATGCCAGGAATTAAAGATGCGTGGGGCTATATCCATCGAGGTGTGAGTTGACCGATGTACGCCCTCTTTGAGACCCACCAATATGCTTTCTTGATGCCACAGGTGGCGCGAATTGGCAAAAGTAATTCTAGCCTTTGAGATTCGTGCTTTGACATGATAGCCGTGATCGATCATAGCAACATCAGCGTAGAGCATCAGAGGTTTACTATCGCAGAACACGGTTATAGCAAGGGCTCGAGAAAGCTCAGTGGTTAAGGCACCAGCTTACGGACAGGAAGGTCTGTGGTTAGAACCCAACCACGGCATCTCGACTGCTCTTGTCTAGGCTTGGGCAACCTGGAAGTATCCCAACCCTCGTGCCTCCTTCTGCTGGCATGATAGCTAGGCACCAAAAGGGTGCTACAGCTGAACGATTCACTTTTTTGAATAAGGTTAGTTCAATTGAAAACATACCAAGAACAACAAAATGGAGAAAACTACTCAGAAAATCTGCACAGAACGCCAATGACTTTGACTGGCAGTGAAATCCTTTGACCAATCACCGGGAGGGTGATGTGAGTTCCACCCTGAAGGCGAATAACCTAAATTTATCAGACTCTTGTTTATCCCTCCAGCTAAATGGTAATTCGTTTGCCTCTTGGCTAGTGCTTTTCTCCACAGTAAACAGCTTGATATACTTAACATCGGATCACGCCAAAGCAGCTCTCTAGGCTAAGTGCTGCTTGGTGATCAGCTCATTGTGAACTTGGCGTTTGGATTCTGATACAGACGATCAAAGGCTTGAAGAGATTTCAAGTGTTTTTGTCAGTGATGGCCACGTTTAGTATCCATACAATCATGGCCTGTATATTAACCTGACATTTAAATCTTGTGACCAAATGCTTTGCTTCAACTAGTTAGCGTGATTCCAACAACCACTCGTACCTCTTTTCCATCGATCAAACCCTCCCCTTGCCTGAACCCACCTCATAGATTCGATGGCACCCGCAACTCCTCAAGAACTGTTGACCTTGACGTATCTAACCAACTTTGGTGAACTTTTTACGCGCGCTTTTTGACCACTTGCGTTATCACGTGTTGTTTGTCGCTAATTCAAACTGATTTATCGTTCTATTTGGGTATGCTGTTTCTATGGCGCTTTTACAACATCTAAGGCTTTCTTTGAGCTTGCACCAATTCGAGCAACAATTTAGACAGAAATCCGCATAATTTGAGGTTTGCATCCCTTTCACATATGGATTTTTGTACACGCAGTACCGGACTTTGTTTATAAATGTCAAGGCCTTGCAATTCTTAGCCTGTGATTTCGCGAGTCACTCAACTGAGCTTTCTTGAATACGTCAAGTATTCTACACCGCTGCGTTTTACTAGCCGACGAAAGATCGATATGGATACCCAAGTGTGGCAGACAAATAAGCAAACGTAATTCTGGACAGACTGACTTCATTACTGTCGTGAGAGCTAACAAAAAACGCCAGACATCTGCAAGGCGTTCAAAAAACCTTTAGCGCCTCCCTTAAAACATATGGGTCTTGTTTGCAGACCGTTTTACAACGGCACTTTGTGGGCGCGAAGAAACACCCAGTCAAATTTTCTTAAGACGCGCGTAATTCCTCGGTCTTTTAAAAAAAGAGAACGCCATTTGCGTGCTTCATTTCGACAAGTTTACACTTTAAAGCATTTGGAACACCGAGGTTTTGGAGCCCTTCGGTTGTCTACCTCACCTTATCAACTACAAAATCGAACAAATATAGGAAGCGGATACCATTGACGAGCAGCACAGATCGTAGAAAACCACATGGATTGTGAAATGCACACAAACATCTGGATAACAAGCGCTTGTATTTACACTGCTATATACTTCGCTGCCGTGGCGCGTACACAAGAGTGAACCGGTCAGTTAACTCAGAGGTGTCCTTGAGACATCAGTATCGTGAGACGTGGGGCGAGATGGCCGAAGTGCTTAGAGCGCGAATTTACTGACCAGAAGGTCCACGGTTCGACCTCTGCCTCTCGACTTCCCCTGTCTAGGCTTGGGTAACCTGGCAGTATCCCAGCCCTCGTGCTTCCTGCGGGTGGCATGGCAGCTAGGCACAGAAAGCGTGCTACAGCTGAACGATTATATTATTATTATTAGACCTCCACGTATCTGTCGACACTCTACCGATTTGCAGTTATGGAGTAGGAAGATGTAGCCTAATTTCTCGTGTATGCCAGCGTCTCAAACAAGCAACATCCCCACCCAATTGGACGATGTCTGTCAGCATGCTGCCACGCCACTGCCTGGCCTCTAAGTTGACCGATCTGACGGTAGTGTTGAAAGGAATTGTAGAAGGACATCAGTAGGTAATATGTTTTGAGGGTGGGCGGCACTTTATGATGGTTCATGCTGAATAAGAGATAATTTTCCACCTTGTCTTGAGAGTCTGGTCTATACAGATGTGAAAGAATTTAGGGTGTTGCTGTTAGATGCTGATCTGAGTCAATGACATAGTTATGAGGGCTAGCATAATTCGGTGGTACAGGGAGTAACTTATGTCTGGTTCCTGATGCAGACGCGAAAAAGCTAATCTGTATGGAACTAACTAAAGCCAACCATGGTGAATGACTCGTCAATGATCACCGCCAAACGGTAGATCGACCTGTTCTACACTGTGTTTCCTCGTAAAAAAGGAAGTTTCATATTCCCGTGAATAGGAAAAAGTTGATTATTTACAGGATATGACTTACTGCCTCCACCGTCTTATGGCATCACGAAGTTACATCCAAATACATACACTCAAGTATACGATTATCTGTAGCAAGGGAGTCGGAAAACTCACAGTCGGATAAGAGGAGCATAGCTATCGGGATCATGGTAACACTAAAGCCCCGGCGTCACGTCAGGTGGGAGCTTCATTCGAGAATTTAAACGTAACCTACACAACAAACATCAAACCATCAGCTGTTCAGTCACTCCTGACGCCCAGTATCTTACCGCGTAGTAGTTGAGGAAGAAACGACTAAAATTGAAATCGCGTTCACATAACTCTCGTATGAACTATTCCCCTCCCGCCTGGCGCAATCACTCTAATGAGCTCACACCAAGGAGGGGATGCACTGGACTCAAGCTCCGCTCTTATTAGAACTCATCAGTTAAGCGAGGGTTTAACTCCGGACATATAACATGCGGGGCGAGCGTGGTAGCATTACTCCACCAGCGCACGCTGGGCACAACTGGATTATCATGTCTGAACCGGCTATTGTGTTCGCGCTTGGGCGATGTGATTAGTTTGCCCGACGACGACCAGCAACCGCCCTGGTTGTGTCGAAAAGTTGGCCCGCCTGCCAGTAGAGTAGCGCCAGGGACGCTTGAAAACCGCTGGACAATTCCGATTAGCTGTAGATGGTCGCGTTCACATCATTCTCGTATGAAGAGCCCTTTACCTGTGCTGGTGCAATTGTTCTAGCGAGTCCACACACCAAAGGCGTTAGGTAAACCAATAACATCGCTAAAGCGTGAACACAACAGCCTGTTCAGATGTGATAATTCAGCTGCGTCCAGCGGTGACACACTCGCCTTCCATGCCAGATGTCCGGAGACCGAACACCGCAATGGCCAAGAAGATCCACTGCTGGTGCGCCCTAATAGGAGTAAAACTCGAGTACAGTGCATCCCCTCTTTAGTGTGGACTCGTTAGAATACTTGCACCAGGACAGGAGGAGGACTGTCCATACGAATGATGTGAACACGAATTCTACAAATCCTGCAAGTACCTACGACTAACTAAAAGTGAGCTGCACGGTTTTCGTTACACAGAGGGCGAACAAGCGAGAAATTCAGCAAGATATCACCCAGTCGCCTAAAGGAATTCTTAGCTAATGGCAAGATTTTTCATGGTCACAGAAAAGTTCAAGGCATGTGAAAAAGACCGCCATCGAAGCTGAATGTAAAACTGACACTGGATCGGAACAAAAGATAAACAGGAGGGGCGAGCAGACCCGAAGAATGTTGCGCCAGTATTCGACTAAATAATAAAAAGACTCCTGGAAACTACCCTTAAAGGAAAACACTTTTGGCCGATATTTTCAGATAGTTTCACCAGTGCACAGATGCGAACGTCTAATCAGGCTCACCTGCTCCTCCTTCATTTGTTCAATCATTCTTCGTAGCTTCTGGCGTCCATCATTTAATTCTGATTGTGTTTGGCTAATAGCCTTCAGTTCGTCGTTGTACTGATAAATCAACTCCTGTTGCTCCCGGCGGATCTTGTCTGCCACAGCCGACTTGATAGAGGGTAGCAGCTGGTCTTCCGTTAACGACCCGGTGGCTAGGTGATGAAAAAAATAAAGTATTGTAGTCTTACGGTAGTGAACCGATTCTCGGTGCCGATCTATCCCTGACCAAGGTTTTACAATTAACTTCATTTTGTATATAACCTGATTTGATAAATATGTGGTGGCGTTATCATATACTTACAGCGAGCATCACTCTAATCGAGTTAGTAGTGAGTTGAAGTCCGTATACCACAACAACAGCCAAAGTCACGCTTTGAGAAACCCGTCCTAAACTTCGAGGCACACTGAGATAGTCCATAGACCGATACATGCTCAGGTGATCTTTCCATTCTGGCACCAGACGACGCTTGACACAGAGATCAACCAAACAGTTGGTCAATGTGTAAGTAACCTCAAGGCAGAGAATATCGCATTGACTCTGCTTAACGAAGCTAAAATACCGTCTTGCATAAAAAATGGTTTCGGATTTCTCAGTTAGATCCGACTGGCCAATTCGAAAATCAATTGACTTTTAGGAGCGCGCAACTGTCCATCGAAGTCAATATCACTAACCGGTAAATTGTATAGGAAAAAATTGTTGTCCTGCCCTTTTACGCCGTGGTTTGCTTGTTCAAACAGAAGTTCGTCCAACTGCACTTCCTCGACGATGATATTTCCCGAGAGATGTAAACGGCTGTTAGAAGAATATGACTGCCTTTTTCTTATAGTGAGGAAATCGGATGGTGCATAAGCCAGCACATACTCCCTAAGAGTTACATTTTGTTTTTGCAAACATACGCATATTGAATGAACAATCAGTAGTTTGTACCAACATAAAGCAGATAACCTGGATAGTAATTGAATTCCCAGAAAATCGATTGGGATCATTTCCAGTTTCTGAACAGTTCTCCAAATCTGAGGGATAGAGGATGCAACAGAGGCTCAAACGGAGAGAAGCAATCCTCTGCTGGACACAGGCAAACATGGTCTACACGGTCAAATCTATTGCGTACCTAAGCTCTGTCTCATTGTGAAGCTTTAGTTAAATCAGTAGACAAGATTGGACAGTAGTTAGGTCCTAGTATTGTATGTTGCTACTATTGACAGATGGCTGGCAGAAGGATAGAAATTCCTAAAAAGGTATGTAGAACTTGAAACATTTTGTCATTCTTGGGCTCATTCGTAGTCAGCACACAAAACAGAACTTGTCTTCTGCTAGCTAGTTTAACTGCAATCAATGAAGTTAGGAGTCCAATTATTTGACCAAAAATTAGTTCGAGTAACACACTATGCAGAATTCTAGCTGTAGTGACCAGCAAGTCCCCCTAATAAGTCTGACTGTATTGTGAGCCCAAACTGAGCTAAATTAGTTACCCGACCGCAATGGTCCGATGGTAGGGAGACACGGAACAATAGTGGTACACCATCAACAGCAATGGAACGGACAATGATAACAACAGTAAATAAACAAACACACTGAATAAGCCTCTTGATCTTGAACGAGAATGGCAAACAAACGGAAAACAATGGTAAACAAATAAACAAGTAAGCAAAAAAAGACAAATGAATAAGTGGCGTGCTTTCGGTGCATGGCTGCCGTGCAACTCGATGGATGGACGGAGGCTACGATACTGTCAGGTAACGGAATCCTAGACAGGATATATCGAAATACCAGTCTGCCTGGAACCACAGAGGTTCCAGTCCGTAGTTTCGCACCATCACCACTGAGCTATCTTGAGCTCATGGACAAAGAGCAACGACGAAAAACAAACAAAACACGATAAAACTTTACTGTGGTAGGAAGGCGTCTGCGTCGGATAACAAAAAGTTTCGGGAGTTCTGAAAGGCGCCGCAGGAAAAGCTGTAATATGAAATGGGAACCTTGGTGAGACGGAGGGAAAAGTGGCTACGCTCGAGCGAATCATTGTAAATGGAACCCCTAAAAAGCGTGCAGTTTGGATGAAATCACCCATTGGAACGAACCCAACCGTATGGCGTCGACCGTCCGTCTTGTAACCGAGTGGTGTTCAAAAGCCGAGCGTAAATATGGTCAATATAAGCCCCTAAACAAGTGAGGTTTCACAGTTCCTTCACTTTTAGACAGGAATATACACAGTTGAGGATACAAAGTGCAAACAGTTATGAAGGTCATTAGTTTTTCACGATTAATTTAGCCTCATCTAACCTGGAACACTCCAGTATTCAACAAACACACGGGCCGCGGTCGATCACTGATGTTATGGTTGATTTCGAATCGATAATAAAACATTTTGAATGTTAAACGGGTGTGAAATGCTCCAAGGACCAATCAAAATTATATGCAGAATCAGTAAAGTTAGGTGAGAGACTGTCCCCGCCATTCAGTATAGGAACCTAACATTTTGGACAAGCTTCGCGTCAAATTCTGCAAACGTCTTGCTCATAGGTTCCCCTGCCTATTCACTATTCCTGCCTTCGCTGCACACACAGTGATCACCACCACCATCAGTGTTGACAATGATGCATCGCTACTGTAGTATCGCGGAGCAGTTCCCGCTGAATGCAAGACACGCCGTATTCAGGAAGGTATAAGTCGGTAGAAAATCAATGACCAAATATACTGGAAAGAAATAATGGTCCAGTTAACCAGGCAGTGCAAACCAAGAAGTCACCATTCATACATGTCAACCATCCGACTTGCTGTCCACAGGAAGATGCAGCGATGGCTCAAGTGGTTAGAGCGCGAATCTACTGACCAGAAGGTCCATGGATCGAACCCGATCTCTGTCTCTCGACCTCCCCTGACTAGGCTTGGGTAACTGGTAGTATCCCAACCCTCGTGCTTACTTCGAGTGGCGTGGCAGCTAGGCATCGAAAGGGTGCTACAGCTGAAGGGTCTTTTTTCACAGGAGGATCGAAAAAGTTTGCTGCTAAGTGTTCCCATGCGGAAATAGACGATTTTCTCGCCTAGCGCAACTAAATGACATTCAGCTCCTGATATTCCAGACAATAAAAGATTTTCCAGTGTGGCAGGCCATCTGTCTGGACCACGCAGATCGTGATGCGTGTTGTCACCGAACACCACAAGGTAGAATCTGATCAGATGAATGTGCATTCAGATTAGCCAAGGGATTTTCATCACCATTGTGTGTTGTGAAAGCGGAGGACCTCGATACACATGTTGAACGCATCTGCCACTCTAAAACAAAGTCAATGATCTCTCCATTTTTTGTAGTATTTGTCATCTGGTTAGTTGCGATCCTACATACCATTTGCTTCGCTTCGATGTACAGCGTTTGCGATATTTCAGTTCTGCTTATCAGCTATAAACCACGAACCAAGAGTAAGTTACTTCCAGCTGGTACAGTTCTGGTCACTGGAAAACCTAGTTTCAGGTGGCCGATGTATCCTCGACCGGGGCGGAACCCAGTTTGACAGTCGGTAGAACTGCAAAAAATAATTACAGAGGGCGCCTTGGATGCCACGATGGTTCTCGCTAGAAATGTTATCTCATTCTCTTGTATCCGGTCGATTAGTCGGTCGCCTTCAGTTCTGTCTCTCTGTTATGATTGGGCCGTTTCCTTCTTACTTTGTTGTCTGATTTCGTTCCACTTGATTGGTTGACTAAGTAGCCTGTTTTTAGTAGATTTCTTTGACCCGATTGGTCCATTATTTGTCATCAGGTCGTTTGATTTCACAGGCGGTTCAGTCCAAGGACTTTGTAGTTCTTTCGGTCGCAGCGACTGACAGACGAGATTGACATCGACGCCCCTAGTTATCGATTTTTGTATGGATTACCACGACTCGGCAACATCTCGCTCCCGTTCTGTTCTTGTGTGAGCAAGTATTTGAACACTATCTCCGCCCGGGCTTAGCGACCGATCGATACATTCATGTGACCAAGGTGCGCGCGAGTACATAGTAACATCATCATACCAGTTAACATGTGATGGCTCCTACTCGCGCTCGGTGATGTAAGTTTAGTCTATTAAAAACTTCTTCGTGCGAAAGTGAACCAAATAATTTAGACAGTGGTACAGTCGGGTTGCAAATAGCTCAGTCACATGGTTATATGCTTCATTTGGAACTGCACAACGCTGTTAATATTAGGGATGTATCCGTTCAGGTTACGGAGAGCACTGATAAGTACGATTCAGAAAAACATCCGAAGGGAGAATCCTCGAGATAAATGGAAAGCTGCATACAGACCACTAAAGCCTCGAAGAATGCCCTCGTGTAGGCATGCGCAGGAAGTCTGCAGCAGTGTTGAGTCCCGTGTTTCAAGTCACGGTGTCATAGAACCATTCCAACTAGTGCAAAATATATCGAAGTCCACCAAAGATCATTCTTCCTCAAACACGCTCCTAATCACCCAAACACATGGCAAACTATAAGGTTCGTGGAGTGGTTGGCGGAGCAGCTGAAGCCGCGCGTGACTCGATGGTGCTACCAACTAGGTGGGTGGTAGAAAGGGAGGGATAACGTTCAAAGGAATATTCTCTTTCGAAAGGGGACCAGGTAGTCGCGGAACTGATTTAGTTGTAATCAATGAATTGGCAGATACTGCGGTGTCAGGTATGTTAGAAAATAAGGACAATAGTTGTATGACTAGAAAAGATACTACAACTATTTCCAGCATGATGGATCAAAAACGGAATCATGTTTGTGCATACGTCGACCGACTGCCTAATAAACGAGGCTCAAAATAAGCTGACGCCAAACAAACAGCCCAGATTGACGAACTGCAGTAACTCTAATCGGCGGTTCACTTTGCGAATATTGAAGTGAGATGTGATGTATTGACAGAAACAGGCTGAAATGATCTGGAAAAGAGTATCCCTTCAAACTGGTCTTACGGTCCCTTTAGATGATGGAACGGCTCACGGAGGTTAGTGGGTTGGATAGGTAACCATGTGGTTCCACGATGTAAAGCACGGTCGATCTGGTTTTTTCGGACGAACTGGCCAATTAAACGTTTGGGGGCGTGTGCACAGTTTTTCAGGACCTTAGTATGACTATAGTCGTTGGCATCGCCAAGTGTGAAAAAAATTAATTTCACGAGAGCGAATAAAGTGTGAGGCCTTCGGTCCTCCGGAAACTAAGTGGATAAGGATCCGCTTCTGACAACTTCTGGTCTGGGTATTTGCGGTTCAGTGCAGGCACCAGCACAATCCTAAGTCGTTTGGGTTGGGTGTCTCGGGAACTATATGGCGATCACTTTAATTGTATCCATGCAAAGGTACTCCAGTTTTTCTTTTGGGATCCAGTAAGCAATCTGGCCAGTGGGTTCATCCCGACATCCGCTGACCTACTGGCGAATTCATAACATTCGTTATGATAGCAATTTATCAAGGATCGCGCATCTTGCGGACGAAACTTCGGTTCAAGTCAGGTACGAATTCGGTGCACCTAAGTTTGAAACGTAGGTACAATAACCGCTAAAAATTCAAAAATGGCAAGGTCGATATGAAAAAATAGGGAGCCTAAACAAACCTTCTGTCTTCTGTGGATCGTACGGATTACCAGGCAGAGGATTGGGAAGGTTCGGAGTGGGTCCGACGGAATCTGGGAAGGGGGAGTTGTAGTTGGGCATCTGTGGCATGGGCATGGTACACATATTGGCCGAGGTGGGCATTTGCCAGCCGGACCCGATTTCTACGCGACCGGGAGCAGGTTGTGGATAGAAACCAACTAAACGGACGGTTTAGACAGAGAAGAAGTTACCAATGAAGCAAATATGCGGCATATAAGCAACAAATTATGGGGAAGATGGTAAATAAACTGAAACATTCGGAGGGCTTCGTGGCTCAAGATGAAACTGCAACTCACACTTCTCGAGAAGCTTCTTACGAAAGAATAGTAGAAATATAGCCAGTTAGTGGTCCTGAATCTTTGGTGACATTCACTGCCCATCACAACATTTAGTCCCTTTGTTTCCCAATTCATCTGAGGGAGGAATATTGTGAAAATCGACCGGATATTGTTTTTCTTTTCTCGCGCTCAGAGTAGACTGTTCGTTTTTATAGGCTGCCTTTTATGCGGCAGCGGAGCACCAGTATTTAAACATTTATGGTGTACTGTCGATGATGATGACCATGACAGTCCGGGCATTCTGTAGGTAGATAGTCTCTCACTACAAAAACCACTATCAGTGAAGAGAGGAAAACCAGTGTTCAGTGGAAAATTCAGTTAAGGGAATGTAAAAAAAAATGCCTGTCATAGTTTGACAGTTTAGAGCGCTTATATGCTTAAACATTCAGTCGGCAAGCCCGACAAACAGGGAAAATACAGTTACTATCCGTTGATATCTTCACAGCCTTCCTGGCCCAGCACGAGTATTTATATTGGCCATCACGCAGTCCTAGTATTTCGTCGAATGAGGACCAACACAAGAATGAAAATTTTGGCAGCCCAATACTTTTGTCCTGGAAGGAAAGATGAAAAGTGAAGCCTACCATACGGGAATTGCTTCGCGGAATCAGCTAAAACACGTATTGTAGTTAGAAAAAAAAACAAGGAAGCGTAAAATACGGCCAGTTGGTTCGGGCTAAAGATTGATGTCTGGAGCGTGTGGATTGGACTCTAGATCGAGTATGAATTTTTCAACCTGAACAACTGAGAATTCAGTGGTGGCTGCAACGTTGTTTAACTGGACGTGGTTGCACATGTCCCTCATTAGCATAGGACTAAGTTAAACTCATTAGGCGCCAGTTCGCAAGACCTAGACCAACGATTTCAGGTGGCTTTATGCTTTGATACCGATGGTTGATGCGGAATGGCTGCCACCGAGTACGTCAGAGTTCCAACCCATACAATAACTCTTCGTACCGACAAAACCAGAGGTCGCATAGACATACATTTTGTTTCCAGCTTCTTCCATCTTGAATGTAAATGCCATTGTAACTACGAAGCAAGTGACAGACAGATCGTATTGTCGTCTGGGGGGTGACACAACCCAACATAAAGAAGACTTATGTTGTTCGAATCTATAGACCTCTGGGTTGGGTTGCAGTTCTCCAGAAAGCCGGAAGAACGTATCTCAAATTGAAAAGCGGAGAGGTAAAGAAAACTTGGATGTGTGATGTTGGGATCTCTGTACTTTTAAGGGAAAGTGTCCCATCATTAGGGTTCACCCTTTGCTAAGAAATCACTTGTGTGATGAAAAACGGCTTCTGATACCGTGTATTATTGAATGCACTTCATGCAAAAGAAGTTATTCGTGGTCTTCTATAATTTTCTCCATAAAGGTTAACTTAATCGTTCCGTCCTTTACNGAAAGAGTGTGAAATGAATAAGGAGGGTAGACAGCTGTGCGATTCACAGACATATGAATACCAGTAAAGTTTAACTGAAGAGCAAAGAATCCTCTATTTTTGTTACGTAACTACTTCATAAATCACAAGTCAAAAACGAAGCGCAGATTGGGTCACAAAAACATCTTAAAACTCTGTTGACAAGCAAAAATGACGAACCTTGAGGATAACTTGGAGGATAGGGTGCTGCAGATATGGGCTGTGAGGGTGCAGGTAGTCTGGAAAACACAGGTGGTCTCTCACCGAAGGTAACTTGTAGCACGGCCAGTAGACCAACCAAATCTGATCCAGGCTGAGAGAAAATAGCAAACATGGGAAGAATATGTAGACGCATTTAGGGTAAAGTCTCTAGAAGTATAATGCAGCCAAATCGGCGTTCTGTTGTCACGGAATAAATTGTAAGAAAATGAGTTTTCAACAATTAGCGAGATACACTCATTTGCAAACTAATCTGGTTTTGCGAGGGACTCAACTGGAACCCAGCTGAATCTTTCGTTTGTGATGTTTCCAGGCAACTGAATGTGCTGCACCAGGCCGCCTCATGTTTCAGTTGATACGATATTCGAGATATCGCCTGGAAATATCACAAACGAAAGATTCAGCTGGGTTCCAGTGAGTCTCTCGCACAAACCAAATTAGTTTGCAAATGAGTGTATTTCGCTAATTTCGTGCAAGTTGGTTTCAAGTAAAACATAAGGCTGATGGAAAACTCGGGGACTGCGCCTACCTGATGAGTACCGAGAAGGGCAAAACCGGTCGTGGGCTGTCAGTAACCTTATGAGTAATGCATTAAGAGTTTCCAACAAGTTTGTCGAAGGAGTGAATCATCCGTGTCCGTGTGGGAGAATGCATCGCCCTGGACTCAATACACAGTAAAATAAACCAAAACCCATAGAAGTGCAGAGGCGTGGTTATCGATGTAGTTAGTGGGACACCGGATCATGTCATAATCCTAATTACCCATGATAGATTTACCATCAAAGGGAATGCCCGTTGGCTGTGGACGGTCGCTGGTTTGTTTGCTGAGCTGATTATAAACTCTACCGTTCAAAAGGTAGGCGGATTCGGGGAAATGGGCCTACATTCGAGTGGGGAATGAGAAAATATTTGCAAAAACAATCAGTACTGACGCAGGTAGCCCACAAACAATGCGCTGGAATGCATACAGACGAGCGATGTTTCAGGATAGCGACAACGACTCAACAGACAGACAAGAAAGTTGTCATCTTAGTCCTACATAAGGGAATCATCCAGATGTGTTTGGAACCAATATGGCGATTTGGATAAGCTAGCAATTTAACCTTATCAACAATGAGGCCGCTGCAGTTACTTATGCTTCTGCCGTATTTCCAATACAAGCGCATCCGTTTTGTCTTTCTAAATAAGCTACTGAACCAATACGCGTGCGGCCCATTTCCTTCCAAACTGCGGCAGTTTAGTAGACAGCCTACTGTTCAAGTGGACATATTTTATCCAAAGAAACAGTGCGGTCAATCACGATTAGTCGAACCTCAGTTAGGCCAACAAAACGGATAACACTACAACTGATGGCCGCACGAATCACCCGAATGTCAGTTCTCGATGTTAACTAGCTCGCTTCGCTCAATAAACCGACCAACTAGTGAACAGGTCGGTGTCCCGTGAAACAATCACTCAATTTGATTGCTGCGTCGAACAGCTGACACATTCGTGATAGTATAAATGTTGAATGGTGACCGAAAAGCTAAACACCGACACCAGTATTAGACATGTGTGCCTCTACTAAAAAAACGTCAACACCAACCATTTGGACAGATAGTTTGCTTGAGGAAGCCCACTTCGCTTACTTATCCAGCCCTGCAGGTTATGGAAAGTTCTGTCTAGGATGTCAAATATGAAACACGAGATAGTCCAAACTGGAATCTGAATAGGATAGCTTGGCCTTTGCCATGAACAAAACGGCGTGGACAATGACGACAGTGAACATGAAAGCGAAACACCTTGATCGGACATTCCAAAGACGCATCTATGGAAGAATGGCTTCATTTCAGTGCCAAGCTATCAAAGAGTAGCAATCCTAATGAATGAACAATCGTAGAAATCTTCAAAGATGGCTAGACAAGATTAGAAACAATATCAAAGACTGACGACATTATGCGAAATAGTTCTACTGAAACAATTCAAGGTAAACCGAGAACAGACTGAGGCCTATGGAAATAAGACTGTTGCACTGTAGCTCCAGCAGCAACTGACCCTGATGGATCCGAGTGATTAGGAACGGACCCTCCAGGACAGCTTGTATCAGGACCACTTAAACAAGCCACCCTTGCAGCAGGAGATTTACGCATACGAACAGGATTTCCCCCAACGGTACGGTAATTAACTGCTCACATGGTGAGCAACCAAATTAACTTTAAAAACGGAATAGTGACCAGTTTCGAGATATGTTGTTTTTCCGGAACCCTGAAAATGACACTTACGTACATTAACTCGCCTTCATCGTAACCAGCGAACATACCATGGTGAATGTCGGTTCGCGCACCGGAAACCCCAGGTAATCGGTTGGAACACATATTCTGTCACTTATCAACCAATCTGAAAAATATGCGACCAGATGCAACCGAAGCCGGATACTTGATGAGTGGGTAGATTCAGCCCCTAATGGCCAAAGTGGCTACTTTCACCTGTGGGGCTCATCATCATCATCATCATCATCATCGACAGCATGACATCAGTGTTCAACACCGATGCTTCACTGCCGTACAACCATGATTTATTTGAAAGCCTTATTGTGAAAAAAAAATAAAGGTGGATGGGGGAGGGACTTAGTGCTAGCTTAACACAATCATTCCGAGGTGCCTACACCTCCAGACATTCACTCAGGCAATCTGGACAGAAACTGACAACAAGAACGCCACTGACATCGGTTGGCAGCCATATCTTGTAGTGTCTCCAACCAGGCACAGTGAGGAACACGCGGTCCCCACCCTGCAAGGCGAGTAGCACCGACAGCACCCAAGCGTTTCGTGATCTCCTTCATACTTCTCTCCCAAGTCAAGGGTTGGCCACCTCACTGTTTACGCCACTCTGAATTGGGCATGGAAAACAGTACTCTCTTCGACAAACGATGGTTCGGCATGCGTAAAACATGTTCCAACCAACGCAGCTTCTGGGGCTACTTAAATAAACTCGATTGGCATAATATTATTGGGTATTGAATCACTTCTTTCATTTGAGATACTGGATAGCACGCTACCAGGAGCAAGGCTATCGCGACGAAAAATACAGACGAGGTGAACGGTAATGGCCACGAAATCCACCATATCTTCAAGCTGGATATAAGTCAAACATCCTGCGAGGGACGACCTCTCTGTCTTGAGGAGGATAACTATAGGAAATACAGAGGTGGTTTTACTGCTCCCCATTAATCAAAGTCTACCAATGCGGTCTAACAGACTGCCAGCCCTGCGCGGGTGAGAACTGGGGTAGTATCAACACCTACCCAAAGGAACTCGCAAAGCACCTGCTGGTCAGAATGTGTCAGATGACAAACAGTTACACTACAGAAACCGGCTCTGGTTCCAGCACTCCGATGACGGCACGTTACCATGTATCGCGGGTTATTGAGGGGAGGGGGCGAGATGGTCCAAGTGGTTAGAGCGCGAATTTACTGACCGGAAGGTCCGTGGTTTGAACCCGATCTCCGCCTCTCAACCTGCCCTGTCTAGGCTTGGGCAACCTGGCAGTATTCCAGCCCTCACGCAGCATGGCAGCTAGGCACCGAAAGGGTGCTACAGCTGAACGATTTTGAAGGACCCACGCACCTGGAGAGCTCTCAAATCGATCAATCCTGCTCCCAAAGACCATCGCTTCGAACTGAAAAAATACGAGTTGCTCAGGCAGACGATACACTGCCAACAATGCGAGAGGCCGCCATCACAAGGTCACTACAGTGCGGCCAACACTTGTGGAAGGATAGGCCGGCTCAACCTGTGTAAGATTGTCGGTCTGTGCAAGCAGCGGTCAGCTGCAAGATCTGTTCGTACTTCTGTTCCAGGCAACGAATCGAGTAAACTGGTTGAATTTGTAAACATTCAAAATATGGTTCGATTGTGACGAGCATGACGTTAGCTGGCCTGCATAGCGGAGGTAACAGGACAATTCTCAAACCATTTTTAAACAATGATACTTCGTAAGTGTCGTCAGCTCAGTAACGCCTGGAAGGGGGAGAAATGCATCTGTATACCTCGGAAGCCGCTGGAGATTTCACGTTCGTCTCTGGATCAACTGTTTGTCGGAAACCAATGGTTGACCAGCTGATTTGTTCGACCCAACAGCCCAAGCACCATTTTTTGTCGGAGAGGGTCCAACCATTAGTGCTATTGAGCTTCATCGACGGAAGTATTTAGGGGACCACTGCATGGATAAGTGGAATACTCTTCAAATGTCACCCGAGAATTTCGCTCCCTTGCTTCTTCAAACCTCTGGGTTTCCCAGACATGACGATCAGTCCAGATAATTATCTGCAGTCGACGTCTGACACGCCGGAATACTTCTCTGAGACTCGAGTGAAGTTGAAATCTTATCGGGAATTCGACGCCGCGGAACACACAGCGATTATTATTCGCAGAGTACTTCTCACACATAGCCAAGTAAAATGCACAAACGCAACTGCTGAAAGATGTCCACACAGAGGTTCTTCTGCCACATGGATTATAACAACATACACTCCAGAATAATAAAAAACAGAAAAACCACCACAGATGAACATCACCATCGTCGTCACCATTTTCATCGTCAGAGGAAGCAACATCAGTTGACATTGATGCTCTACTGTCGTACAACCGCAGAGTTTAACCAATTATATTCAGTCGTATAATGAAAGGAAGAAGAGATGGGGTGAGGGAGAGGACCTGGTGATGGCCTATCGCAAGCATTTTGAAGTGCATACACTTCCGAACGCTCAATAAGACAATCTGGAAAGAAACTGACAGCACGAAAGCTACTGACATCGATCAAACGCCATTCCTTGTGATGTCTCCAGCCAGGTGCAGGATGGGTCACGTGGACCCCATTATGCAAGGCGTAACGACAGGACACTCAAACTCATTGTAATCTCTTTCACAACCTCCTGCCAATTCATACGTTATCCACCTCGCGGTTTGCACCATTTTGAAGAAGGGACGGAGAACAACACTGGTTTCGGTAGCATATGGCCGGGCCACCGCGGTTGTTGGTTGTGGGTGTTTTCCGCGATTGAAGTGCCTGCTGGACAACCAAATACTTGGTTTCCAATTACCCCGTTCCGAATTG